TTCTCTTTCAATAAAATACAAAATAGTGTTTGGGTCATAAGGTCGGCTTAAATTAGAAAGCAAAAATCTTCCCATAGTTTAGATGTAAATTGACTTTATTTCTTGACTTTATTTATGTCCCAGGGTTGATGCAAGACATACAATCCTTGCCTGAAATAGAAAACCTGCTGGTAGAATGGCACATCTGGAGGTTAACCTGGTTTATCTATTTGGCAAACAGAACTCTATGGTGGCTGCAAGAATATAATTTAGGATCTAGTATTAGCCCTGCTGTTTTAGTAGATACTCTTGTTTGTTGATCCTCAGAGGCCAATCTTGGTTCGCCCAAGTTTATTAAAAAGTTTTGCCTTGCCTTGTTTCATGGTCTGATCAAGCCAGGCTTACTAAGACCCATCTGATGGTATTGTTCTTTTCCTCTGTACTGCTGCCTTTAGGAATCTACAGCCTTACTTATTGTTTTACATTATGCTTTTGTTTCCTCCTTTGACTGTTGCATTTGGAACTTGACATCTTCCTTATTTTGGGCAACAGGACATATCTATTTTCCTTTTGACCTTCAGTGCTGCCTCTTGAAACATGCATGCCCTGGAATGCAATACCATTTTCTCAGACCCAACCTGAATCTCTGGTCTTGTACTTTGAAATGAGGCCTGACCTCAGGTGGGTGTCTCTCAACAGACAGAGAGAGATGATAGGTACAGACTGACAAAAACATAATACCCAAAAGAGAGTTATTTGTCTAAACCAGCAGTTCTCAAGCTGTGCTCTGTGGAGCCCTTAGGGCTCCGCAAAGCACAGTCAGGGGCTCCCCCCCCATATAGGAAGAACGTGGCCTGTGAAGCCCTGTTGCCGCTGCCAGTGCAACCTGCGGGGCCTCCCCCAATGCTGCTTTTTAAAAAACCTGTAGAATCACCCCTCTCAGAATTTCTAGGTCTTCTAGCATGACTCTATGGTTGATTTCTGCTGGAAGCTGGCCACAGAATTGCATTGGAGAGACTTGACAATAGAGTCACAATGGAAGATTATAGAGGTTTCTAGAGAGAACAAATCAATCTGGGAACTGCATGGGAAAAAAAAGTCAAACAGCCTCAAATGCAGCAAAGTTATTTCGTATACAAACTCATTGGATACTCACCAAAATTTGAAGTCTTCATATGAGAAGCCTTGGTGGAAAGAACTTTCTATCCAGTTGTAGCTGTGTTATAGCCTTGTATTGTTTGTTGCTTGTTGTTTAATATTGCTTTAATTGTTTTTAATTTGCTTTAGGTTTTGTATTGTTATGTTGTGTTTGAGGCCTTGGCCTTTGTAAGCCGCATCGAGTCCTTCAGGAGATGCTAGCGGGGTACAAATAAAGTTTAATAATAATAATCAAAAAATAGCCTTGACTCATATCTCACATCTGCAGCTGATCCCTTTTCTGGTGCAGAAGATATCTAATTTTCAACCACAATTCTTGCATTGACAAACCAGTCTTGACATCTTTGATGAGGTGACAACTAAAACCACATCTTACTTTGAGGATGAGCAAGTGTAACAATAGAAGACAATAAATATGCTCAGCAAGCAAAAACAACGGCCAGAAACCTCAAGTTTGTAATTTCAGATCAAATGTTAATTTTAGAAACTTTGCCACTTTTTCTTAGGCAAATATGCAACTGCAAAGCACTACTGTGTTAAGCAGTCTGACCACATTTAGATTTCTTAGAAATGCACAAGTAAAATCCCATGTCTTCAAAAATTACCTGGGAACTTCAGTGTGACAAAACATGGTGGCTAGATAATGAAATAGATCTAACTTTATGGAACATCTCTTACTTCGCCCAAGTATGTTAATTTGACTCAGGTATAATTCAGGGGTTTTTAAACCCTTAAAGGCATGAATGGCTTGGGATCTAAAGGATGATTCACTCCTCTACAAGCGGTGGGGGGGGTTGTCTTTTTTTTTTTTTGACGTAGCAACTTGAAACATCACCTGGAAAACCATATGCTGTTTATACGTGGGGCTAACTCACATACCATTTACACATGGACATATTGTTCCAGCATGGTGTAGTGGCTGGACTAGCTTGTGGGAGTTCCTGGACTCCATAGATCCTTTGTTCAATCCAGCCCTTCTTATGTTCTCAACTATCTCTTCCAAGAAGACATTTTTATATTTTCTTTAAAAATAATAATCTGAACGTAGTCTTCTGTACTTTATTTTGGCACAGTAAATATAGATTTTATTGCATTTCTTAACAGAGCTGCATTTAGTAGATTTACATGCCTACTGGAGAGATGGAAGGAAACAATTGTGGTGGTGTTTCCAGTCTTCTTTCTGTAAGCTTTCTGCAGCAGCATGTCAAATGTGTCCAGCTACGGGAAAAGAGTATATGTATTGTCTACCTGCTCACTGCTTTCTGGAAACTCAGAAATATTTGTGTGGATGGGCTGTGTAGCCTGAAAGGTAGCTTTTGTGGGGTAGGGAAGTTTGGTTCATTGTGATGGCACAACACAATGAATTACAGACTTGTGGCATTGTAATTTCTTAACAGGATGTAGACATAGTGGGAATCGGGGATACATTATATACATGTCTATGGGGCTTATTCCCACGCATACAGGCCCTGATATCAGACGTCTTCACAAGACATTCTTCTGAACAGAGAGTTGTAACCTGTTATGACAATGTAATGTATTAGATGGACATTGACAAACTGGACAATGTTCAAAGGAGAATAAACACATGGTTGGCTTAACTTTGTACTGTAAGCAGAGTGTTATGTCTTGGCCTAGCCTTTTCCCTCCTCTGTTTTATTTCCTTGTTTTGTTCTCTCTTTGGTGTGGACTTTTCCATTTGTGCTTAGTTTTAGGGGTGGAGCTTAAAAAAACCCCTAGAGGCCTGGCTCAGTTGGTTTAGCCCTTCTGCCTTAGAACTTGTCTGAAAGGCTTTCTCCTCCTTTTTAGTCTGTGCCAGAGTTTTAGAGAAGGCCAAAAAATTGTCTGGGTTCCTTGGCCTGGCAATCTAAACAGAAATTCTATAGCACATATTTACCATCTTATAGTATTACCAGCTATATAGTATATACCTCATAGACCTTCATAGCTTGTACTATACCATAGCTGTATATACCTTATAGCTTAGTACTTACCACTGAAGCCCACAGTGCTTTACCATTATAGCTTGTACCTTTACCATTTAGTTATTATAGTTCTGTACTTTACCATTTTAGTTCTGTATTATATCAATAGCCAAGTACCTTACTGAAGACAATTATAGTCAAGCATTTTACCTCATATTTTATGAATATGATCTAGTGTTTATTTCCAGTGTAACTAAGTTCAATCAACAAACTTTGTTTTTGTAATATTTTTATTTTGATTCGCTTTTCAAGAACTCTGACTGAAGTTATCTTTGCCTTTTGTTTCCAGTAAACTTATTTGGTTAACTTTAATCCTGTCTCAAGAGCCTTTTTTTAAAAAAAAAACTGAAGTTCATCAGAGGGTATGTCGATAGCTACCAGGAATAGCCAGACATATAGTTTTCCTTCCACCCCGGTGTGCCATCACACAGAGTCCTATTTGGGAGATAAGCAAGGTTTAAAATTAAACAAATAAACGAAGAAGGAAAAGGATGAAAGATAGAATATGTTGGTATTGTCTGAAGCTGGTGCCCCCCAAAAGTGTTGAGGTTTAGGAATAACCTCTAGTTACCCCGCTTTGCTTCAGAAGCCAGAAAAGATCCCCAGTTGAGCAAAAATGACAACCCCTCCTTGCTTTCCCACAACTCGATAAATTAACAGAAAGGTGAAACCAAAGCCTTTGGGAACAGATTATATAGATACTAGCTGTACACAACATGCATTGCTGTGGCCAACTTTCCCTCCCTCTTTCTCTCATTTCCCTACTTCCTTCGTTCCCTCTTTCCTTCCTTCCCCTTTTTCTTCTTTCTCTCCTTTCTTCCTTCTCTACCTCTTTCCTTCCTTCCTTCCTTCTTTCCTTCCCCCTTTCTTTCCTTCTCTCCTCTTTCCTGCCTTCTTTCCTTTCTTCCTCCCTTTTTTCTTTTCCTTCCCTTTCTCTCCTTTCTTCCTTCTCTACCTCCTTCCTTCCTTCGCTCTTTGCTTCCATGCTTCTTCCTCTCTTTCCTTCTGTCTTCCTCTCCCTCCCTCTTGCCTTTCTTTCTTCCTCCCCTTTTTCTTCATGTCCTTTAGCTTTTTTGGTTTTTAAGTCCTTTCCTGTTTTTCTGTGGAGTTTTTTGAGTGATGGTCACTCATTGGTCTATTAGGGGTATAGCGTCCAAATTTTGTGTCAATTCGTCCAGTGGATTTCGAGTTATGTTAATCCCACAAACGAACATTACATTTTATTTATATAGATGAATGTAGCCTGATAGCCCTTCAACGGGCATGGCTCAGTGCTATGTAACCATGGCAGATGGGAGTTTGGTCAGTGAAGGCTGAGGACCCTGCAAAACTACAACTTCCATGATTCCATAGCATTAAGCCATTGCTAGGGCTAGAGCAGTGGTTCTCAACTTGTGGGTCCCCAGGTGTTTGGCCTACAACTCCCAGGAATCCCAGCCAGTTTACCAGCTGTTAGGATTTCTGGGAGTTGAAGGCCAAAACATCTGGGGACCCACAAATTGAGAACCACTGCTCTAGAGTGTAGATCAGGCATGGGAAAACTTCGGCCCTCCAGGTGTTTGGACAATGGAGGTCCCACACGACTACCGTTTCCCTCCACGACCAAAGCGCTTGAGGCGACTCGTCCTGCGCATGCGCTGGGTTTGTTCCTGCTCTAGGCATCCTCTGAGTGTGTGTATATATCTACCTACCTACATCCACATACGTCTACGTGCGCGTGCTTCACGTCCACGCCGTGCGATTTACGCACGGGGCGGGAGGGGGGGTTGCCTGCTGCCTCCTTCCTCTCTAGTCTACGCATGCGTGCGCGCTCACGTACGGCTCCGCCCCCTCCGGCGCCCAGATGTGTGCCTTTCTTTCTCGGCGGCGCGCGCGCAAGCTGATGGCGTGCGTGCGGGCGCATGCGCGGTCCGCTGCGTGAGCGAAGCGGGGAGTCGGGTTCAAAGGAGGAAATATGGCGGAAAACAAAGGAGGAGGAGGAGGCGGCAGCGGCGGAGGGGACGGGGGCCGCGGAGGCCGGGCCGGCGGGGGGAGGCCCCGAGCTCGCCTCAGTTGCCGCCCCCGCCGCCCCGGCGCCCGCGGCCTCCTCGGCGGGCCTGGCCTCCCCTTCCCCGCCCGCCCCGGCCCCGCCTGAGGAGAGGGAGAGCCCCGCGGCGGAGAAGGAGAAGGAGAAGGCCCCGGGGGAGGCGGAGGCCGCGGTGGCGCTGAGCGGAGGCCCGGCTCCGGCGCCGTTGGGCGCCCCTCCCGCCGCCGCCCCCGCCCCCAACGCGGCCCCGCTCTCGCTGCTGGACACCTGCGCCATGTGTACGCAGAGCCTGCAGAGCCGGGAGGCCGAGCCCAAGCTGCTGCCTTGCCTGCACTCCTTCTGCCGCCGCTGCCTGCCCGAGCCCGAGCGGCAGCTCAACGTGCCCGTCCCCGGCGGCGCCAACGGGGACATCCAGCAGGGTGAGTGGCCCCAGTGGGTCCCCTGCTCACCTGGGGGGGGCGGGCCCCCATCAGGCCCCGTGTGCTGCAGGGCCAAGGCCGCTTGACACCACTTCCCAACTGCTGTGGGGGAGTTGTAGTCTTCACCCAGTCTTGAGCCTCCTCTGCCTGAGGGTGCCGCCCCAAATGACAACTCCCACGACTCCATCACATTGGGAGCAGCTACGCCAGAGATTTCCAAAACAGTGTGTTGGGACACCTTAGTGCAGGCATGGGCAAACTTCAACCTTCCCTCTAAGTGTTTTGGACTCCGACTCCCAACCTTCCTAACAGCCTCAGGCCCCTTCCTTTTCCCCCTCAGCCGCTTAAGCGCTGAGGGGGAAAAGGAAAGGCTGAGGCTGTTAGGAATGGTGGGAGTCCAAGTCCAAAACATCTAGACGGAAGGCCGAAGTTTGCCCATACTTTAATGTGTTGGCTGAAGTGTGTAGGCACGTCACATAAACATCGTTATTACAGCCCGTATAATTTCTGTCTTGCAACATGATATATGCCTACAAAGTGTGTCACTGACATGCAATGTTTGGAAAGCTCTGACCTGCACTGTAGAACTGTGTTTCTACAACCAGTGGTCCGCAAGAACTAAAATATTACCTCGCCGTTATGACATTACATTGTTGAAGGCTTTCATGGCCGGAATAACTGGGTTGTTGTAGGTTTTTTCGGGCTGTATGGCCATGCTCTAGAGGCATTCTCTCCTTGTCAATAGATGCAGGCGAAATGTCAGGAGAGAATAGCTCTAGAACATGGCCCGAAAAAACGTACACAACCCGTTATGACATTGTTGCAATGGGAGTGACTGGTCTCATGGAACCCTCTTATAGTGGGTTTAAATATGGTTTTCTGTGGGTGAGCAGATGGTGACTACTGGATGGCATATGTTCTGTATTATTATTATTATTATTATTATTAAATAATATCAGAAATAGTATCAGAAATAGTATCAGAAACTAGAGCTGGTGTGGTCTACCCATTGCGGTTTTCTGAATCGGTACCCCCCCAAATAACCAAAAACAAATCTAAAGTTGACCAAAGACGGATTCATAATCCTTTTGGTACTAAGGTTGGAGAGTGGATGATGGTCAAGGTCTTCGCTGGTCAAAACATGGTTGGGAACCACTGCTGTAGAATGAATGGAGTTTGACACTTCATGAACTCCCATGGCTCAATGACATGGAGCCACGGGAGTTGTCATTTTGCCTAGCAGTGATAGTGCCTCAGCAACCTGCAACTCCCAGGATTCCGTAACATTAACCTGTGACAGTTAAAGCAGTGCCAAACTGCATTCATTCCAGAGTGTAGGTTCATCCCAAGTTTGAGATGCTGCAGGAAGGCAATCCTGATGATGAGGGGTGGCTCCCTCCAAGGCTGCAGAGGAGAGGAATGGAGGTGGGGAACCAATCCTTTACTTATTTTTGTTGTGTGTGAATGATGTCTTGGAGCTCTAGACCTTTCTAATAGACCTTCCAATAGACCTTTCTGATCTGGTACACTTGTTGAGTGACAGTGTCTTGATGCATCAGGCTAGCATTGGTCAGTGGTCACATCAGTTTAGGAGACATCGTGTTATAGCATAGCCAGGATGTTGGTTTTTGGACTGTTAAGATGTGTATATCATAGACGATTGACTAACAATTTTTCCGAAGGTGGGAATACGTTTTCTTGGTTGGTATAATGGGCCCATCAGAATAGTAGAGTGCATATAAGCAGACCTAAAGTTTGCTCTTTTAAGTGTGAGATCCACCATCAGAAGTCTGGTGCAGAAGGAAGGCACTTAATATTAAATAGTCTTAAGTCTGGGAATTCAGTTTGAGTTCTGTATCTTTGCTCATGGCCTATGCACACAAAATTTCACTTACAATTGTCCCCCACCCCCATCATCTTCCTTTATTTCAACATTATAATTTAGGGCAACAGAAAGTTAATTTTTTATATTGTCAAAGGCTTTCACAGCCATAATTATTGAAGTGTTGTGTGGTTGTTTAGCCATTTTCTAGCAGCATTTTTTTCTGATGTTCCACCTGCATCTGTGGCTGACATCTGATCCACAACATTCCAGTGATTTCAGGCAGTTATTTTATTGTTGTTAATCACTTGAGAATTGGACAGTTTTTCTAACTTAGTGCAAATTATGCCTATTTGCCTTTTCTCTGTCCCACTGACCCCAGAGATGTATCAAACATAAAAACTCCATCCATCCGAGTCACACTGTCAACTGTTAACTGCTACTTTTTTTCAACATTTCACTTTCTAGTAATCTCTTTTGTTCATTTTTTTAAAAAAATTCTACAATCCATCCTTATCCAATCACATGCTAGCACACAATTAACTTTAGCAGCCTAGGATTTTTCCCCCCAAAACATAGTTGCAGGTATCCTATGGTACCTGTGCCAGACTATCACATTAGGTATTAAAAAACTCCTTAGGAAATTAAAATTGATAGTCAGCCTGATCTTTTTTTGCATATCCGTGTTCATTATTTAGCCGGTTTTGGCAAACACTGATAAATTCATTATGATTGGCCTTTCATATCCACAGATTCTACATCCACAGATTCAACTACCCCTAACTTGAAAATATCTATCTTCTGTACACATAATAAAAGTGAAAATATGTATGTGTGTATGTGACTGGAATGTCCACTTCCACAGACAGTCTCCTGCTTCCACAAACATCTTTAACCCACAGTGCTGAGGAGCCACCAGAAGCCCTCCAATGACATTCATGTTATAGCGACCGTCATGACCATGTAGCCCAACCCCAGTCAATATTCTCCCCAACACCATATTTCCCACCACCCAAGGAATGCTTTCATTTGGGGACAATTTCATCCTAGATTTTGTGTGTTTCCTCCACCACAGATATCCCACAGATATTCCATTGGTGTGGAATTTGCATGATCCCGTCTTCTGCCTCTCCCTTAACCCTTTCCTACTTTTTTCAACTTTATCTGCACAACAAGCAGAGGAGAACTAACCAGCACTGTAACCCCCTACTGACAATGGACCTGGACTACATTTGGCACACAGAACCGCTATGACCAAAGAAAACTACTGGAGAGGTTTTGGGGGAATTCACCTTGATTTATAGCCATTGTAGGTACTGGGATTTATAGTTCACCTGCAATCAGAGAGCACTCTGGACCCCAGAAATGATGACCCTTGACCTCACTTGGCACACAGACCCCCATGACCAACAAAAAATGCAGGAGGGCTTTGGAGGAAATTCATCTTGATTTATAGGAATTAGAGTTCACCTACATCCACAGAGCACTGTGAAAGCAAGCAACGATGTACCTGCACCAAATTTGGCATGCATACCCAATATGCCAAAATTAGAATCCTGGCAGATTTGGCCATGGTATTGGCCTTGACATTTGTTCGTTGTAGGTACTGGGATTTATAGTTCTCACCTGCAATCAAAGAGCCCTCCGAACCCCACTGCTAATGGATCTGGGCCTAACTTGGCACACAGAACCCCCATTACCAACTGGATGTACTGGAGATATTTGAAAGGACTGACCCACCATGGTGGGAGTTGCAATTAATCCTGCAGCTGGAGAGCATAATGAACCCCACCGATAATGCATCTAGAGCAAATTTGCCCAACATGACAAAATTTCAGTATTTATGGGGTTTCTGGGGGTTAATCTGGCATCATGTGGGTTAGAATCATAGAATTGGAAGAGACCTCTTGGGCCATCCATCCAACTCCTTGCCAAGAAGCAGGAAAATCGCATTCAAAGCACCCCTGACAGATGGCTATCCAGCCTCTGCTTTAAAGCCTCCAAAGAAGGAGCCTCTATCACACTCTGGGGCAGAGAGTTGCACTGCTTAATAGCTCTCACAGTCAGGAAGTTTTTCCTAATGTTCAGGTGGAATCTCCTTTCCTATAGTACACCCACAACCTTACGCATTTTGTAAAATAAAAAAATGACTTATTCTAATAACCCGGGCAACACCAGATACCCAAGCTAATTAAAAATAGATTTCAAAAGACAAACCTTGATTTTGCCATTTTATATCAGGGAGATTATTTTACTATGCCATTGTATATAATGGGTCTTTTTTTTTTTCATTCACAGATTTTATTTATTTATTTTATTTAAAACATTTATATTTCGCCCTTCTCATCCTGAAGGGGTCTCAGGGCAGAGCACAGCATATATACGGCAAACATTCAATGCTGGGACACAAATTCATATACACATACATAAACATTAAAAACATTTATCTCAATATTAAAATACACAATTTAAAACCATCCTAGTCATCAGTGTCAAATCTAATTGGCCTGGTAGTCTTTCCTATTGCTGCTTTATTCCTTTGCTCTGGAAACTTGGTCCCACAGCCAAGTTTTTACTATCCTTCTAAAGGACAGGAGAGAGGGGTCCGACCTGATCTCACCAGGAAGGGAGTTCCATAGCCGGGGAACAATCACTGAGAAGGCCCTGTCTCTCGTCCCCACCTCTGACAATGGTGGGACGGAAAGCAGGGCCTCCCCGGAGGATCTTAATCTCTGCGGTGGTTCATGGGGGAGATGCGTTCGGACAGATAAATTGGGCTGTGGCCGTTTAGGGCTTTATAGGCCAAAGCCAGCACTTTGAATTGTGCCCGGTAGCAAACAGGGAGCCAGTGGAGCTGACATAACATGGGAGTTGTATGCTCCCTGTATGCCGCTCCAGTTATTAACCTGGCTGCCTCTTGTTGGACTATTTGAAGCTTCCGAGCAAAGGCAACCCCACGAAGAGTGCATTTCAGTAGTCTATCTTAGATGTAACGAGAGCGTGGACCACCGTGGCCAAGTCTGACTTCCCAAGGTATGGGTGCAGCTGGCACACAAGTTTTAATTGTGCAAAAGCTCCCCTGGCTACTGCTGCAACCTGGGATTCCAGGCTCAGGGATGAGTCCAGGAGGACCCCCAAGCTGTGAACCTGTGCCTTCAAGGGGAGTGTGACCCCATCC